CCATGATATCTCTCAGCGTTTCTGAGCAGTTTTCCAATAGTGGGGAAAAAGTCAGCCATCAAGGTTGATGGAAACGATTGTTACTCTCAGGTGCTCCTTGGAGATGGTACCTGTTTTTAATGGGAGGAAATGTAAAAAATAAAATCCTATGAAGATTGAAATGTTCTTCCAAATCTTCCCCAAAGAAAAACAGTCTCAGCATTAAACAGAATGAAGGAATGGAACTGAACTGGAATGATGAGAATGTTTAAATTTAGCTGAGAAAAAGAGGGGCATGAAATGTCATATCCAAATGGGTTTAATCCGGCCATCTTCAAACTTGGCCCTTTTATGACTTGTGGACTTCAGCTCTCAGAATTCCTCAGCCAAACATGCTGGCTGAGGAATTCTGGGAGTTGAAGTCCACAGGTCATAAAAGGGCCAAGTTTGAAGACCCTTGGTTTAATCCATACAATCTCCATCCTGGTCAAAGACCATGATAAGATTTACCCCATACAATCTTGGATAAGTAAGTTGATCAGCCAGCTACTAACAGTCCCCAAAAGGAAGCTACTGTTTCCCTATCTAAGTCCTGTATTTGTCATTCATTTTCCCTTCCCAATGATTAAAAAAATAATGGTTTGGCACAATAGGAACCTACCACTCATTTCTGCCTCTCTTTTTTTTTTTCAATTGTCTGTGGTTGCAAAATATGAAATCCCTAAAAGCTATAGAGAGAAGACTGCCCAGAGAGGTCTACTGTATGGGGGCCCTCTAGGACTTTTCACTTGATGACCGCTGTCAAGACAGACCCCTACCTTTAAATCAGGGGTGCCTAACCTTGGTAACTTTAAGACTTGGGGACTTCAGCTCCCACAATTCCCCTGCCAGGCATGCTAGGAATTGAAGTCCCCAGGCCTTAAAGTTGCCAAGGTTGGACACCGCTGCTGAGCATTAGTTGACAGAGGGAGAAGTTAATTCAGTTCCCAACAAGTTCACCTCTGTTTGGGGCCAAAACTAAACTCCTTAGGATTAATGGAACAATATGTTTTTTTTTTCCCCCTCTGGAAATAATATGTTAAGGTGACCAACCGTCCCCCTTTAGGGAGGACAGTCCTCCTTTTGTAAGTTCTGTCCTCCCTCAAAAAGTGTCCTCCTTCATGTCCTCCTTTTCGATATTTGAAGACTAATCTGCAGGGCTTTTTTTTTTCCTCATAAAACGCTCAGAATGGCGTTCCGGCACCTTTTTTTGATGGGTTTTTTTTTTTAACTTTTGTATGAGCTGTGCTTCTCCCCCTATTGGCTTTCGAAAGCCAATAGGAATTGCTGCTGAGCGTGCCAAAACACCCGGCTGGCAAACTTTGCACATGCAAGTTGTCTCTATTATTGTTGCAATGAATAAAATGTTTCTTTTATTTACAATTTTTTTTCTTCAATGTATTTGTAGTCCTCCTTTTTATTGTAAAAAAGTTGGTCACCTTAAATATGTGTAATATCCATATAAGCCAAATGAAGGCAGCCAATATTTCATTTGCAGTTTTAGGTCAACTGCTGATAGAGGCATACAGTAATCAGTTCATGATCCTGGAATACCGCGAGGATATCCATTGATGATAAGAAACGGTGTCTCCCAAAGTATGCAGTCAAATGAAGCAAACAAAGAGGAAATCACCAAGCTAACATTGTTAACAATAATGCATGAGGGCATCAAATGCCTTTCAAAGAATTTAAGAAACCCCCCCCCCCAGATTCATTATAATTAAGCTTTTCTTTAAGCCACCAATCTAGGCACTTTTTTTGGCTCTCGTGAGAAACCTGATGGTGAGGTAGGTTGCCTTCAACTCAGTCAGGATCTGGTGTCATCTTTATTAACTTTTCTAGAATACTTGTCTGTCAAGCCATTGGGGATTTCTCACCTAGTAGAAAATGTGTTACAAAATGATAAAATCGAGGTCTGAGTGCTGTCACTTAGCACTGCCTTTTCAGCAAAATTCAGGATATATTGCTGCCGTTTGAACGGATGCTGCGTCCTTTGTCAGGGGATATGCAGTCTAGCCAAGGTAGCTTCTCCTGTTGCCAGGTTTTCCATTTGCACGTGGCATGACTGTAAATAAGGACGACACCCCCCATGGCATCCTAGTTGCAAACATGGCACAACAGAATGAGATTAGCCCACACAACATGCCTGGTTAATCAGTTCCTGATCTCTCTAAGAGGAGGCATTGAAGAATGCTCTCTCTTCTGATCTCAGATCCTATTCTGAAATGGGAACGAGCCATTAGCTGCATTCCATGTTTTAATTAAAACATGCACCTGCATGTTATATAAAAGCACTAAGATGCCAATTAACCAGGAGACAGATGGAGGCAGGTAAAGCATGTAGAGTATAATTTGACAACATGGGCTTTTTCAGAAGCAATTTAAATTCATCTGGAAGAGGAGGAGGAGGAAGAAGCAAAAAGAAAAGAAGCATCCCTCTGAAGAAGACATGCATTATGGTACCCAAAAGAAACTCCCATGTAGGAGGCTGTTAAACAGCTACATGCCCTCGTTCCTTGCCAATAAAGGCTAAGATGCCAGAGCTGCAGATGAAGTTTACACTGAGCCCAGGGCCCATCTGTTGGATCTGGAACTCATTAACTCCTTCCAGGGTTCCATCTGAGGAGACTTTGAGCATCCAGAGAGCATTCTCAAGATTAAAACTATTATTTTAATATTATTAGAACAGAATAACAGAATTAGTGGGAAGGGACCTTGGAGATCTTCTAGTCCAATGCCCAGCCCAGGCAGGAAACCCTATACCATTTCGGACAAAGGATATCTTCTTTAAAATGTCCAGTGTTGGAGCATCCAAAACTTCTGAAGGCAAGCCATTCCACTGAATAATTGTTCTAATTGTCAAGAAATTTCTCGTTAGTTTCTTGGTTGGTTCTCTCCTTAGCTTCCATCCATTGCCCCTTAGATATTGGAACAATGCTATCATGTCAGCTGTCAGAGTGTGCACAGTCTTATTGTGTGAGGAGTAAACACAGGAGTAAACACAGTAAACAGTAGTATATATTAAATTGTGATTTATCTTACACTATCTACAATATCATACACCAGGAACAATATACATATATGTGCTAATACAGCAGGAGCCAACAAACCACAGTTACAGCAGGAAACGGAAGAGGAAGAACGCATCAGCAAAGCCTTCCATTTATACAAAAGCTCTTAAAGAGACACAGACCCTGCTGAGTCACTCCCATCATTACATCTTAAATCTTACATTACGTAAGCTGTTAGCTGTTAAATCAATACCTTGACATCACCCCTAGCCCTTCTTTTCATTAAACTAGACATACCCAATTCCAGCAACCGTTCTTTATATGTTTTAGCCTCCAGTCCCCAGTCTATATATCTAAAATTGAATACAATTTAATAAATTAGGATTTACAGTCTTTTTCTAGATAACTGGAAGCATTGAAACATTTTAGCATATTTTGTGCTTCACAAAATTCCAAGTTACATCTCATCCCATCTCCAGTTTAGTTCAATTATTAAAAAGTGAGTTCTCCATTGGTTGCAAGATCCTTCAGTAAACACTGCTGGGCAGGAAACTACCATATGAAAAATAGGTTTGGTTCCAAATTTGATCCTGGACACAGCATATATGTCCTAAGTCCATTTATCTATAGGAAGAACCTTTGATTACCCAGACATTTTCAGTTTTAAAACTATTTTATGAAGAAGGGGTGACAGGGTAGCAGTGTTCCAGTATTTGAGGGACTGCCACAAAGAAGAGGGGTCAACCTATTTTCAAAAGCACCAGAAGGCAAGACAAGAAACAATGGATGGAAACTAATCAGGGAGAGAAACAACTTAGAAGCAAAGATAAATTTCCTGACAGTGAGGACAATTAATCAGTGGAACGATTTGCCTTCAAAAGTTGTGGGTGCTCCATCAGTGTAGGCTTTTAAGAAGAGGCTGGACAGCTATTTGTCTGAAATGATATGGGGTCTCCTGGTTGAGCAGGGCGTTGGATTAGAAGACCACCAAGGTCCCTTCCAACTCTGTTATTCTGTTATTTATTCTGATTTACAGTCCCTTTCCAGATAACTAGAAGCATTGAAACACTCTAGCATCTTTTATGCTTCACAAAGATTCAAGTAACATCTCAACTCCACTTAAATTCAAGAATTAGAAAGTGGTTCCCCATTGACTGCAAGACTCTTCAGTAGACATTTTTGGGCAAGAAACTGCATATGACAAAAAGTCAGGTTTAGTTCCAAGCTTGATCCTGGATACAGGATGGAGGCCTTGGGTGCCGAATCCTCTAGTGACCTATTTTGTTCATCTGTGACTTGTTTGCTGCAGATGTTGCCTGCAGTGAAGTGCAAGGCAACTGGGTCTTTGCTTTTATTTTTAATTTCCCACCATATGGTGAAGGAGCCTTTCTCCTCCACCTTCCTGAGAAATATTAAGAATGTCTAGAACTATCTTGGTGCTGGACTTCTTCAAAAGGGAAGCTCCAGAGATAGGGATCCACCCAGCAGAAGTGTGCTGTGGTTGAATTAGTCTTTCATTTGCACAGATAAATGAGAGAGCAAAGCCATTGAAAACAATTTCTCTCTCTCTCTCTCTCTCTCTCTCTCTCTCTCTCTCTCTCTCTCTCTCTCTCTCTCTCTCTCTCTCTCATTTGTTTTCTCTTGTGTGTGTGTGTGCGTGCACACGCACACACATGTGTGTGTAAGATAAGCCTCCAATAACTATATGAATTCTTGACTAGCTGCCAGGAGTTTACAATGCTCTCTGCTGCTAAGATTCCGCTGGTCCCTACAAGGAAAGAGGCTTGTAATTTCTTACAAATCCTATTTATGATCCGGCTGTTATCTCCATCTGGAAGGAGATCTTAATTTTAGCCCACCCCACTGTCTATTTATACCTTGCAGTCTGGCAATGGTATGTTTTATTTTAAAACCTCGTTTTCCTACCTCAGGGCTAACCCTCCCTTTCTTTTCTCCTTCTTTCAAAACTAGCAGACAAAGGTAGCGACGATTTCTACTCCAAACGGCGTCATCTGGCCGAGCTGGCTGCGAAAGGGAGCTTACCTCTGCACCCGGTTCACGTGGAAGAGGACCGGCCCTACATTTTGGAAGGGGGCACCATGAAACAAAATGGACAGAAGTCCAAAGCCGCCAGGCCACATATGCACCCCTTGGCTTACAAGACCTGGGATCCTAGCGACCAGTCCCTTCGGAGGCAAGCCTACGCCACCAAAGGGAGGAATCTCATGGGCGATCCCACCGCCAGAGACCCACTGACCACACGGAGTCAGCACTATTTACCCACACAGCCATATTTCATCACTAACAGCAAGACAGAAGTGACTGTTTGAGAACAAATTCCCTCTGGGCTCCTTTTTTAAAAAATTAAAAATAAAACAAAGATCTGTCAGAGGACCACCATGGAACAACTACAACAACAACAACCCAGGTTTAACTTGAAGGGAGGCAAGTCCAACGTCCCTGGTTGAAGACAGGTGGGGGCATCTCTTCAAGGAAAGCACTTGTCAAAGACTGGGTCAGCGCTATATAGCAATATTCCGAAGTTTGCTGAAACTTTTCTATTTCACCTGGGAAACTGACCCCCTTCCAACTGAATTTCTCTTCCTTCTCCAAACTGAGATCCATGATGAGAAAGTAGCACAATTTAGAGACACCATCCATTGGCTTGAGAAATCTTTCCGCCTTCCAGGAGGGGAGGGGAAGACTTTGATACAGTCAGGATTATTCCTGTTATTACGAGGATTATTATTATTTTGTTTTGCTACAACTTTTCAGAATGTTCTCTAGTCACTCAATCTATGAACAACAGAAGGCTGAAACTGAGAGCAAAGACCGACAGGGCATAATCCTGATGAGTGTCCGGTTGTTTTTGGTACCACCGCTTAACAAAGCAAGCAAGCAAGCAAAAAAAAAAACGTGGAGATCACACATCTCGCGTTACGAAAGAGCAGAGACTCTTGTGCAAACTTTACAAGACTGTTACCATTCAAGGAATTACTAAGACTTTCTCATCAATTGAAAAGCTTTGTGTTTTTCAGTCTTATGTCATCCGTTTTTCCAGATTCGTACAGGCCAAGAGTGACATGGTCAGGAACCCCTTATCCTGCCCTAAACCCTTCATCCCACAGCTGTGCACTCAAGTTAGTTTCTCTCCAGCCTGCTTGGCATTTTTTTTTCTTAACCTAGTTAATTATTCCAAGTTTTCAATTACTTTGGGACTGACAATAACTAAGCGTGGGTGGTGCCTTTACTGTATTATTAATGTTTGATGACTGTCTTGTTTTTAAGTGAAATCTGTACCGATTTCAGATGCTTCCCTCACCTCTAAGGCTTCTATTCCCAAATGTCCTTCTTTCTTTTCCTTTTTTTAAAGCTGAGAACGTCACATTTTACAATGGATTTTGTGTTGTTTTGTTTGCAAAGCCTGGAATTGTCATTCCTTCATGGTCTTTTCTCCTGTTGAAAACTGACTTCCTCTGCCCTCTGATTTTCGGAGTATTTTGTTGTTGCTGTTTATGTTCCCTTAAAACTTGTTTAAGTCTGTTTTGAATATTTCTCTCTTCCTTCCTTCTTCCTTCCTTCCTTCCTTCCTTCCTTCCTTCCTTCCTTCCTTCCTTCCTTCCTTCCTCCCTTCCCTTCTCTCTCTCTCTCTCTCTCTCTCTCTCTCTCTCTCTCTCTCTCGCTCTCTCTCTCTCTCTCTCTGCTGATTGTTATTTGCAGGTCTCTGAGGGAAGAAAGGCACACGCGGGTTGGAGAATGTGGCCTGTGATCACTTCCCCTTAAAAGAAGGCTGTATGTAAAAAAAAAAATTGTTTAAAAATATAGTTATTTCAATGTGTTTGTTCATGTAAATAAACCCACAGAAACAGCTGGGGATGTTAAGGGACTGCTTGGATGGGTGACACCAAAGTTGAACAAAGGGTGTCTCCTGGACCCCTGATTTTGGTGGTCTCAAAATTTCCACAATCACTGTGCATTTACAATATCTTGACCAGCAAGTCTTTCTGTTCTCTAGTTCTCTAGGCCTGATCTAGTATTATCAGATCCAAGTTGCAGAAAGTCCTTATGACCCCTGCGTGACACCTACAGAGAGTCCTCGACTTACAGCCATTTGCTTGGTGGCCATTCAGAGTTCCAACAGCACTGGGAAAAAGTGGTTCACATCCAGTCCTGACACTTATGACCACTGAACATCCACGCGCGTCACATGATCAAAATTCACAGGATCAAAATAAATACACTGGGCGTGAATTTGTGATGGCTACAGAGCCCCAGGATCGTGTGAGTGTCGTTTGTGATCTTCCCAGCCGGGTTTCGGTGAGGGAAGCCAGATGTGCTTAAAGACCACATGGATCACTTACTAATGGAAGGGATTCACTTAACAACCGCAGGCAAAAAAATGGTTGTTAAAATCGGGCGTGACTCACTTATCTGGAAATTCTGATCCCAATTGTGATCGTAAGTCGAGGACTTCCTGTATCTGTTTTGGCCAAATAAGGATCATCTGGATTTCTTCACCCCAGAACTGGTCTGCCCAAGAGTGGGTGACTTGGTTTTCCCTCTTCCCTAATGGATAGTGCTTGCTACTAGGACTGGAGCCGTTGCCACCAATGGAAAACTCGTAAGCTTTTTTAAGTAGGGCTACTCACTGTTTCTGCCATACTTCCCGTCTGACTCTTAATCCATCTTCCTGCCCTTTTCCAGTAGACAAACCAGGGGAGATAGAAGTATTTATGGATTGGTTGCCAAAGAATTGTACTTGCTGACATTAAACCGATGCTCGTTGCTAGTCATTTCGATCCACTGTTTTACACCCTTACGAAGATGGGCTGGGGAGGGAGAGAATTAGAGATAAATTTATTCCCATTTCATCCGTTTTTGGCACATGGGCTCCTTGAAAAAACCAGGACAGAAGTGGAAGGGCAGCAGGATGGTTATAAGAGCAAAGGGCTGGTGAAGAACCTGGACTGAGGACCACATTCAGAAGATTGAGGGGGAGGTGACAATGGTTGAGAATCAGCCGATCTACGTCTGTAACAAAGATTAATCTCATTTGATGACCGAGCTTCATCCTAGTTAGGGAAGAATGTGGGCACTTTCTAAGCTTAATCCTGGTCTGAAGCTTTGTGGAGTTAATTTCTGAGCTTCGTTCATTCAAGAGAGTTTTGTGAAAAACAGCACCCCAATTTTTAAGCTTGCATCTTAAGCAGCAAAGCCCGTATGAAAGAGGCACCCTGCCGACCTATCGTAAAAATGTGATCCCTCAAAGGGTCGTGGTTGGAGAGAGCTTGTACTAGATCAGGCACTCCATGGCAGTCCTCTCTTAAATCTGGGAAATAGCTTTTTCTATGCTGTTTCTGCCCCTTTTATAGATTTCTGATGGGTTTCTGTTGGCTTCTACCAGCCAGTCAAAGGCTTCCCCACCTCTACTGAATGTAATGGCTAACCTTTTGCTTGAAATAAGTGCTTCACTCTCTCATTATGTCGTTGATCTTGCAAAAACTTCCTGGTAGGTCAGTGGTGTTTGTAACCCTGCCTTGTGGGAAAGAGTAGAAGAAGGAAGATCAACTGATCAGGCCTCAAGCGAATGGGAAGTTCAAAGAAAGAATATAGAAATTCGCCTGGCACCAGATTGGTTGGTCCCTACATCTCATTCCTAACAGGCTGCTTCGCCCTTGCCCAAACTGGTGCCTCTCTCTGAAGCTTCGGACTACCACATCCGTTAGCTCTAGTTGTTGTGGCTAAAAGGACGGAAACCAAGATCTAAAGAGCATTTGCTGGTGGTGACTTTCTATGTCAAGAGAAGGGTACTGCCCATCCCTTACTTCCTGCTTGCTTTGGAAGTAGATGTTCAGGGCTTTCATTGGGGAGCTTCTGCACCCATTTTCTCCTGCTGAGCTACAGTCCTTCTCTTCAGGTGAAGACCAAACAGAAATCAGGGACTTTCTAATTCATTTCTCAATGTCTTTAACAGTGTGGTTTTATACATATCTGTTCCAAAGTAAGCCCTGCTGATCTCATTGGTGCTGTCACACACACACATCCTCAAAAAAAACCCTGCAGAGTTGCAACTCTATCCACAGCACCTTCCTAGCTCCTTAGTCTGAGGTCCCTCTTTCGTCTTCTCGTAAGATTGGTTTACACCAGTGTTTCTCAACCTTGACAATTTTAAGGCATGTGGACTTCAACTCCCAGAATTGAAGTCCACATGCCTTAAAATTGTCAAGGTTGAGAAACACTGGTTTACATGGCTTTAACCTCCAGTCAAGGAAACAAACGTCGTTTCTCAAACAATGTGTAGAAAATCTGTTTGATTTTGGAATTTCTTTCCCCCTCACCAGCAATCAGGCCTTCAGAACATGCCTGGCTTAAGAGCCATTTCAGCGGGCTAAAATCAGTTGGAGCCCGGCATACCACAACACCTCCGGTGAAGTTTGGAAAGCTGCTGGCTGAAAGCAATTTGGAAACGGGGTAACTTCCAGAAGCTTTTGCAATTAATTTCTCGGTTAATTGCTTCAGAAAGTCTAGAAACACAAGCACCGTTTTCCTCCAAAAAAGGAAGAACACAGCATAAGGAAGCAACCCAAAAGAAAAACGATGACAAAACAGCTTGCAGCCAGCAGAGACTAGTCTGTTGTATGGGTGGAATAAAAAGGACTCCAGAGTTTCTGTCCCAAAGGAGCTTTTTTCAACAGGCAACTGGACTCCTTTGGTTTTTAATTTTAAAATGTTTTGTTTCTCGTCCAAGAAGCTTCTTCAGTTCTAATTGAAGAACTGAAGAAGCTTCTATAGAATAGAATAGAATAGAATAGAATAGAATAGAATAGAATAGAATAGAATAGAATAGAATAGAATAGAAGGGACCTTGGAGGTCTTCTAGTCCAGCCCCCTGCTCAAGCAGGAGAACCTATACAGTCTCAGACAGGTGAATGTCCAGTCTCTTCTTAAAAATTTTCAGTGATGGAGCGCCCACGATTTCTGGGAGTAAGCTGTTCCACTGGTTGATTGTCCTCACTGTCAGGAAGTTTCTCCTTAATTCCAGGTTGCTTCTCTCTTTGATCAGTTTCCAATCATTGTTTCTTGTCCTGTCCTCTGATGCTTTGGTAAACAACCTGGCCCCCTCTGCCTTGTGGCAGCCCCTCAGATACTGGAATACTGCTATCATGTCTCCTTCTTTTTTTTTAGACTAGCCTTAGCCCAAAACTCAGCCAAGAAATGAAAAGGACCTGAATAAAATCCATTTGTTTCTATGTATGTATTGTACACACAGGTAATTCTCAACTTACAACCACTCAACTAGGGATCGAAGGTATAACCGCACTGAAAAAAGTGTCTTATGATCATTTTTCACATTTACGACCACTGCAGCATCCTCATGGTCACGTGACAGTTGGCGACTGGTTCATATTTATGACGGTTGCCATGTCCCAGGGTCACGTGATCCTCTTTTGTGACCTTCTGACAAGCAAAGTCAATGGGGAAGCCAGATTCACTTAACAACTGTGTTACTGACTTAACAACTGCAGTGATTCAATAAACAACGGTGGTAAGAAAGCTCGTAAAAGGGGGCCAAACTCACTTAACAACTGTCTCACTTAGCAACATAAATGTTGGGCTCATGTGTGGTTGTATGTCGAGGAGTATCTGCGTACAATATCATATACTTCCGTCACATAAAAAGGGGTGGAAATATCTCTAGGGGAGCCCGAAGCAGTCCAGCACAGTCCTGGTTAGATCATCTTGCCACAGATCCACCCTCCTACTTTTCTGATCCTTTCACCCTTTCCTTTTAAACCAGGACTGTCAAACATGCAACGTCACGTGACGTGTTGTGACCTATCGTGACTTTCCCCCCATTGCCGGCAATGGGGCGGGCACGGTTTCGGCGTGACGCATCCAGCCCACAGGCCGGCAGTTTGACACCCCTGTTTTAAACCATTTCCAACTCAACTGCTTTTGTCAATTTTAGGGCCTGCCTCCCGGTTCGTTCCAACTGAATGCTAAAAGAGCAACGTGATCAAAGGCAAAAATGATCCCATTTTCAACCGTCCTATTTTCCTACCTTCTCTATTTCTGGTTACTATTCAAAAGGAAATCGGGGACTTCGTCATATGGAAACATAGATCTGAACCAAAGTATTTCAGAATGCGTTTTTAGATGTTCTGATTTCTGTCCTTCACCATCTTCCAAGGATATTTTATATGCTGGCTGAGGAATTCTGGGAGTTGAAATCCATACATCTTAAGGTGGCCAAGTTTGAATAACGCTGCTTTACATGATTTTTATAAATATCCTCTGCCGTTATTTATTGAACTTTCTGGTGTCCTTTCCACAATTTAGAATTATGATAAATTTAAAGTAGAGGGTCAGTTTGCAAAATGGTAAAATATTGATGCTTCTGTCTCTTCTATTTGTAACACCTTTCCCCTAAAATATCATTATTACTCTAAAACTGTTGGGAACCTGTCCACCTTTTGTTCTGAAGGGGAATTTCTCCTCATTTAAAAAATAAATGGATACCCCACCCTAGAGATAGTCTTGAGAATGTCTCCAAATTT